GGCCAATCAAATTCACAGAATGATACAGAGATTATTCTAGAATGTGATTTCCTAATTTAGTAAAATCCCTGACTGTAATATCATATTCTAATAAATAAATTATATTATGGCTATAAATTCCAAATTTTTTATATATAAAAATTGGGTTTGAAACTTATTCTAAAGCAAAAAGGTTATTTAAATTCTGCTCTTTATAAAATCATCCAATTAAATCGATAGCCAGATGGAGAAATTTTAAAACAGAATCAGTTGTAATGCTATATCCTTAGTTCCTGATATTATCTAATAATCAATCTATCTTTAAGTTATCAATATTCAAACCTGGATATATCTGATTAAAAGACTTAATTGCAGATCCGTATATAATAGATAGATTTACTATAGTGCAAAATCTTATATAAAAAAAATACAAATATAGATATTTATATTAAAAGATAGCCATTAGTTATAATAAATTACACAATCTATATTTGCAACATGCAAGTCGAATCTCAAACATGTTACCTGTATTTTTAAATCAATTATTTCTTTGTGGTTTGAAAAGTTTTATATAGAGGAAGGAAAGATTTCATAATAGTTATACATATCAATTTCATGTTTTATTATATTTTATCAAATTTTTTGATGCTTGCTACTCTTATTATATATTGAAATATGATCATCATTGTTAGCTTCTGTAAGTGCTCGTTCTGATACTTCTTTTTTGAAGCTTGCATTATATCTTCTGATCCATCCCTTAATAGTTTTTACTGTTGGAATTTTCTCAAATGAAAGTTCACCATTTTTCACCAAGTTTTCAAAATCAGGATGCATATCCTCAGGAGAGTAACAATCTGCAGCTTTTAGATTACCTGCCAGAAAATAACCCTACAAGTATTGTAATACTTTTTTTGTAATGTGTTTTCTTGTACCTTTATTACCAAGCTTCATACTCTCTTTTAGAGCCCAACCCGCATTAAAAGGAAACTCTTGATCAGCACTATAGAAAATAGCAATTTATCAGTAGTTTGCAGAAATTATGTCATAACATAATACAGTACTATACAATATATATTATTACGTACCTTATATCTTTTATAAAATTTTAGGTAATTGCAAAATACAGCATGTGTTAAAAAAATTTAAAACTATCAAACACAACCAAAAGGTATGTATATATCAAATATATGTGCATGTTGTACCTCAGATTGGAATCGTCTCGATTCAGAATTGGGCTGTCTCAGATGAGAATTTTGTCAATTATTTTTGCGAATTAGGACTTTAGGGTTAGGGATTAGGACCAGGGCTTAGAATATAAAAATTTTAATTTTAGTTGTATAATTTGGGCAAAAATTACAAAATTCTCATCTAGGGCTGTCCCGATTCTGAATCAGGACAGATTTCAATTCGAGTACAACATGCATATATGTATGTATGTATATATATTATTACCTCTTGCAGTATTTAACATTTCAGCCAACTCATCATTAACTATACAAGATCAATTTGTAGAGATTAGTATAAACTGCAACAATACGTAGTTATTATTATTATCTATTATAGTATATCTATGTTACCTGATAATAATTCTTTATTGGTTTTCTTGCTTGTCAGTAATTTTGGAGTTGGCACTATCCATACAGCTTTTGGTGTAGATGACTTGGAAAATGTTGGAGATAGTCTTTTACAGAATGGAGCAATCTGCGCAGGTTGAAAGTTATTCCACACACCTATATTAGAAAGAGAACAGGCACGAACATATCTTGCGAATTCACCTGTTATAGGCCAAGACCACTTAAGCCATTTGGAAATACCAGGTATAGTTTTAGATTTTTTGATAGTATTAGTTTTTGGGTTCTGGCTAATTATATTGTGAA